GTGCCAAAGAAAGAACAAGTCTGATAGTTGTGGGTTGAACCACAGGACTAAAGGTTTCAGTGAAGTCAATACCTGGAGTTTGGCTAAAACCCTTTGCAACTAGCCTGGCTTTGTGTCTACCAATAGAGCCATCAACATGGTGTTTATGTTTAAAAATCCATTTGCAGCCAATAGCAGCTTTGTTCTGAGGTAAGGGAACTAGACTTCATGTGTGGTTGGCAAGTAAGGCATTATAATCAGACTGCATAGCCATAGTCCACTTAGGGTGAGAAAGAGCCTCAAGATGAGAAGTAGGAGCATGGTTGTCCAGGTAGCTTGCCAAGAAGACTCTTGGTTTAAGGTGGCCAGTTTTAGATCTGTCACCATATGATGCTGACCTTGGTTAGTACCTGCAGGGTTAGGTAATGAAGTAGGACTATGACTAGACATGATTGGCAATTCAACAACAAGGGGAATTGTAGTGTTGCTTGAGGAAGTGGACTGAGATGAGGAGTTGGAGTTAGAAGAAATGGGGGATGTAGACATAGGTACTGTGGTAGGAGTAGTGGCAATATGAGGTGTGGAGTGAGTGGAAGGGGTGGGTGGTGATGGTAGGGGGTCTTTATCATGAGTAGAAGATGGATGAGATGTGGTCAAGATGGGTGGGGCATCTATGTGAAGAAAAGTGGAGGGAACTGTAGAGATAGTGTCTGAGCTCCTGTGATAAGGAAAGTTGAGCTCATCAAAGACCACATCTTTTGAAACTAAGATTTTCCCTGTAGGCAATAAAACTTTAAAGCCTTTATGTTTGGAGCTGTAGCCACGAAAAGTAGCAGGTAAGGACCTAGGCTCTAGTTTGTGTTTGTTGTAGGGTCTTAAGTTTGGGTAACACAGACAGCCAAAGATTTTGAGGGTAGTGTAGTTGGGTTTATGGCCATATAGTTTTTCAAGAGGAGAAATATAGTTGAGAGACTTGATGGGCAGTCTGTTGAGAGTATAGACTGCTGTGTGGAATGCATCATCCCAGTACCTCAAGGGCACTTTAGAGTGGGATAGGAGAGCTAACCCCATTTCAACAATGGTCCTATGCCTTGTCTCACCTAGGCCATTTTGAGATGGGGTATATTTACAAGAGATTCTGTGAAGGATGCCAGCATTTAGTGAGAGCTGTAAATTCACCTCCTCCATCACTTTGGACAGTTTTAATTTTATAGTTTACTTGGTTTTCAGCTGGGTTTTTAAAGTGGACAAAAGCATCAAACACATCAGATTTCCTTTTAAGAAAGTATATCCAGGTGAATCTGGTAAAGTGGTCTATGAAGCACACATAGTAATGAGAGTTTGAATGGGAGGTGATGGGTGAGGGTCCCCATACATCTGTGTGAATGAGTTGCAAAGGTTCAGTGTAAGTGGATAAAGACTCATAAGAAGGTAGAGAATGAGCTTTAGCTTGCAAACAAGATCCACAAATAAATTTTTCATTGATAAGATAAGGTACATTACAGCTTTTCATAACTTTAAGAACCACATCCAAGGCTGCATGTCCTAGTCTAGAGTGCCAAAGATCAAGGTTGGTTGTTTTAGAGAGACATATTGATGGTGAGGTTGAATGAGAGTATTTGGTGAGCTGGTAACCAGAGGGGGGTTTGAGGTATATCTGAATGAGGAATCTGCCATTAATGTTGTTCAGATCGAGGATAAAGGCTGTTATTTGTTAGATCAAAGGGAGCACCAGAGACAGGTCAAAATCTGATACCATGTTGGAGGATAGACATTGGTGCAAAAATCTTGAGAAATAAAAGCACAAAAACCATTTTGCAGAGAATAGAATTTCAGTATTAATTGCTGCTTAAAGGAGGGAGACATACATGCCTTATATGGAGGCTACAGTAACCCTACGAGCTGTAAACCCTAGCTTAGGAACCAATAGGAGAATCCCACGTGTTGCATGCTCACATGCATGTGTACAGTATAGAGAAGGACAAATACAACAATGCAAGGGTGTGCTTAGGTGTGAATGCAAAGAAGCTAACTGATTTTGGCATCTTGTTTATCAAAATAAATATTTGAAACAAACAAACTAAAATTACAAAATAAAGATAAACATTCAACTCACTTAAAATTAACGTACGAACACTAAACTTAAAATCACAACATAAAAATAAACTAGAATACCCATCTTAAAGCTCACACATACTACAACAATAATTAATACGAAACATATACATAAAAACTAAAAAAGGATTATAAAATAGACGATTTCATAGACTTAATTGTCACCATAATAATCATTCAAATTTCCTCCGTCATGCCCGATGTCGTCGAGAAATCCAAATTGACCCGTGTTAGATGATGGTTGTGTTGCTTGAGATTGTTGCTGCTCAATTTCTCTTTCTTGTAAAATTTGTATCTGTTTTTGTTCCCAATGTCGACGTATCATGGGATTCGTAAGGGAACTCAAATCTATCATCAAAATTCTATCTTCATCCCTCTTTTTCTGCAAATTGATTTGTTGTTTCTGCAATTGAAGCTGGACATTTTGACGTTCTTCGGCTTTCTGCAACAAATCAACAATAATATCACTTTTAGCATTTAGAGTTTGAAAATATTGGCAAAATTGGTCTTCATTTTTCTTCTTCAATTTTGCTTTCTTTGCTCCCATTTGACGTTGAGAGGATGTTCCACCAACACCATCGTCACTTTGTTGAGGACTAAAAGACGACAATCCCAGAGACTCTGGTGTTGGTTGTCCATCATATGGAACGTCGGACTCGGAAGAGTCATTGAGTGTATCGAAATTCCGACGACGAGATCGTGGTTGGGACACATTATCATCAAATTTTTCAAACTCTTTGAACAGTCGGAACACGTGTTGAAACTTGAAGCCATCTTTATAATTTGGGTCTTGTTCAAACAATCGTTCGGCTTGCTCAATCTACAAACAAAGTAAAAGATATATAATTGTAAGTATACTTATAAAACAAGCAAATAACATGAACCGAGATTGAACTTAAAACAAAATACTCACCCTATCTTGGACTTGTGTCCCACTAGGATTGTTATAATCGATTTGCTTCAAGCATCTATTAAACCTCCGACAATGAGTTTCCATGAGACGGTAACGAGAGTTAAGAGACCTTATAGGGCGTTCTGGTAAATCTTTGTGTTTCTGGGAGTTGTATTCATCATGTATTTTTTTCCAAAATGTTGAAAAACTTTGGTCATGATATTGGATTTTGTGAAACACTTATGTAGCAGCTAACAATTAAGACATCTTTCGGTTTGGAGTATTTTGGCCCTTTTGAAGAAGACATTTTGAAGAGAATAAGATATTGAAGAAGATTGGGAACAAGAAGACTACAGTAATGGAAGAAGAAATGAGATGTGTGTGGTTGCTTCTTGAAGTTTGATGTATAAATAGATAAACGAATTCACATGCAAAACAAGTATAGTGAGTATAAAAAGGAATCCAATGCAAGAGAAATCAATGCCAACTAATTGTTTATTCATATGTCATTCAATAGAAAAGAATCCAATGATTCAAAGTAGTATAATGCAAAGTAATAATGTAAAGTAATAATGATCACATGGTCTTGCCAGAAATTATTGCATTTGACATTGTGTTGGTCAAATTTATTTTATTGCATTTGACATTGTGTTGGTCAAATTTATTTCACATGACATTGTCTGAAAAAGAATCCAATGGTTAGAATCCAATCCAAATTCACATGGCATTGTCCAACAATAATGTAGTGTAATAATGATCACGTGGCGAAATTATTGCATTTGGCATTGTGTTGGTCAAATTTTTTTCACATGGCATAGTCTGAAAAAGAATCCAATGGTTAGAATTCAATCCAAATTCACATAGCATTCTCCAACAATAATATAGTGTAATAATGATCACATGACCTTGTCCGAAATTATTGCATTTGGCATTGTGTTGGTCAAATTTTTTTCACATGGTATTGGGCTTGTTTGGTAAATGGTTTTTTGCATCAGTTTAGCTTTTTTGCCCATTAGTTTTTTTGACTTTTTTTCTAGCTAACTAAAAAGTTGTTTGGTAATTGGCGTTTGAAATCAGTTTTTTTTGTATATCCGCTAAAAATGAAAACGCTGGCAATTGGAGCATTTTGAATTAGCTTATCTGAGGAAAAAAACCAAAAGTCACAACTGCCTTTTTTTTTTCTCTCTCTCATTAACCTAATTTTTTTCTAACCTCATCACGTAAAATGTTTCTCTTAATTAGAAGGGGATGAGGTACGAAAAAATTATATTTTTAATATTGCATTTTTATTCTAGCTATAAAAGTCAACATCTAACTTTAACGTTTGAGTTTTTAAAATAATAATTTTATGTGATTACAATATTTTTTGTTTTAGTTTAATGTTTCGTAATTTTTTTTTTTTTTGCTAATTTAATTTATGTATATGATAAAGTTTATTTTTATTTTATTATTATTTTTTATATTTAATCAATTTGATAAATATTTTAAATATTAATTATTTCTATTTTCTAAATAATTATAAGTTCAACATAAATTCGAATGATAATAATGTTGATGTCCTTATAAGTAATTTTACATGTTAACATCTAACTAAAATAGCTAATTTTACCAAATATTTTTTTTACAAACCGCTAATACAATCAGCTGGTCAAAATAGCTAATACAATCTGTTGGTTAAAACAGCTAATACAATCCGCTAACAGCTAACAGCTAACCGCCATTTACCAAACAAAGCGATTGTCTGAAAAAGAATCCAATGAAGAAAATATGTATTTCTTTTATTCATCCATTCGTCTATATAAACATGAAACTATACATCATATCATCCAAGCTGCATATTACATTCATTATCAAATATTTCTGTAATATTTTCCTCTAATATCATTCACAATGAATTATCTTCCCCCACATAATTATGATTCTGATGAGGAAGATGCAAATGCTTCATTGCCTCTTTTTTTATAACACTTTGGAATTAACCACCTCTCATATATTGCAAACCAATAATTTTTTTATGGCACATGCTCTCTCCGCGCAAAGTAGCCAACCAACTTGGGGAGGTTCTATTCCGGGACATAGAGTAGTCCATCGTGATCGGGAGGAGGCCCATCGCACTCTGTTTCGAGATTATTTTAGTAGTAATCCAACCTACGATGAAGATACATTTCGTCAAAGGTTTCAGATTTCTATTCATAATTTCAAACGTGTTATGCGAGCATTGGAAAATCATGATAGTTTTTTCCAACAACGTCGGGATGGTCTTGGTCGACTTGAATTGTCAACATATACAAAAGGGACAACAGCGCTTCGTCAGTTGTCTTATAAAACTTCAGCAGATGGTGTCGATGAATATCTTAAGATTGCTGAGTCAACGACCAATGAATGCGTAAAGAGATTCTGTCGTGGAGTCGTTGAAGTTTTCGGAGCACAATATCTGAGATCACCAAATCACGATATCGCTAGATTGCTTCATATTGGTGAACAACGTGGTTTTCCAGGTATGTTAGGTAGCTTGGACTGCATGCACTGGGAATGGGAGAATTGCCCTAAGGCATGGGCTGGTCAATACGCTGGACGTTCCGGAAAGCCAACAATCATTTTGGAAGTTGTGGCAGATTATGATCTATGGATATGGCACGCATATTTTGGTATGTCAGGTGCGAATAATGACATTAATGTGTTGGAAGCATCACCTCTAATGTCAAATTTTGCTGAAGGTATCGCTCCACTAGCTAATTAAACCATTTAAGGTAAACAGTTTAATATGAGCTATTATTTAGCAGATGGTATATATCCAAAATGGTCCACTATTGTTCAGTCTTTTGTTGCACCATCAAATCCAATGGAGGACAAGTTCTTGCTGGTTTTGAACAAAACGCTGCAAGGTTACCATGACCGAGGGCTTTCCGTACAGGATTTTCTTGTCGAAATGTTAAGAGCATGTCTGTTTATGAAAATTTTTGGTTTTGTTTGGGATTTTTGGTTTGGTTTGGTTAATTTTGAAAAATGTGGTATGATTAATTGTTAGTGGGTATATTAAAATAATATTTAAAATAAATAATTTGATGAAAAAGTAGGAGAGAGAAAGTTTGATGTGATGGTTAGTTAAAATAATATGAGTGGATGAATAGTGAATTAAGGTTGATGTGGTGTGTAAGAATGATTGATTGATATTATTTAATTACATTAATAATATTGATGATAGTGGGGTTGAGTTAAAGTTGAGTTAAAAAATGTGGTTGAGTTAAAATGTTGGAAATTTTTTGAAAATTTCCATAAACAAACATGCTCTAAGTTTTGGTCCTAAATCCATTTCCCTGCTTGAAAAATGGATCCCCATAATCCTGCTGAAT